TTTCAGCTTACTAAGAAAGCAGAGAAACCTAGTTCAAGAAAGAAAAAAAGGATCTTTGGGAAGCAAAGAATAGAAAACAGATTGGGAGGAAGCGAAGAGTGAATGGGAGGATTAAATAAGGTCTTCTTTTGGCTTCCAAATAAAAATAAAATTTAAAAAAAAAAAAAAGCAAGAAAAGCACTGAAGATTAGAAACATAGTTTGCTCACTATTAAGTAAATTTGATTTATTAAGATAATAAGGAAGATGCCTCAGTGTGTTCTCTGTGGTCTCATTGATCAACAAAGAAATACTTGTGACACACTGTGTGAGTCCACATTCTAATGACTAGGACTTTTTTTCTGTAATCAAACTCTTGTAACAAAATGGATAAACTCTGCCATTCCTCATTATTCTGCAGTTCTAGTGATGGACAATTAGCGTGTAACCTTCACTCACGTGCTGAAGTTGCTCTGTGTATGCATTGCAGTTTTATATTGCAGTCTTTGTAAAGTCATTCTGTCTTTAACTTTTTTCTAAGATAATTGGGATTGTAGTTCTTGTTAATCTCAGAGTATAATGGGAGGATAAATGAAAATGTGTGATAAGATAGTATAGTGTGGTTTGAGTAAATGAATGATTTACAGTATATAATTTTGTATTTTTAAAAGATTTTCTTAAAATAACCAATTGCATTCTGCTCAAACATTTCACCTTTAAGAGAATTGTTCTTGGTGCAGTGTAGGCAAAATTCTAGCAATTCAGTCAACCATGCCCTTAGTCTTCAATAGACAAAGGAAATACGCTCTAAGTTTAGCTGATAAGTTTAGTATTGTTCATTAAAAGCCACAACAGTTATTCCTTTAAAAATCATTATTTTTCTAAATAGTGTCCTACTTTCAAACTGAAAAGTTAAACTGATATAAGTCCTATGGGTCACAGACAGCAGTCATCTTGGTTTCATGGGAAGCATTGCTACACTATTCCTATTACTCCAGATTTGCTGCCTCAAGATGCATCTCTTGTTCTCATTTACAGAAAACTGGTCGGCCACTATTTTGCCTCAAGGTAATTTTCATTATTTCAGTGAATTGATGGTCTGATGGCTCAGTTAAAAGTTAGTTTGCCTTCCTGGGAAATTATTGAAGCCGTTAAAAAGTGGAATTCCTCTCTGAGTTTCAAAGTGAAGTTTTTTGGTATTAGCTATTCCAGTGCTCCCTAGCTAGGCAATCACCATGTGATTACTTTTAAACCAAGTACACTGATTTAATGATATGCAGTTTGGAAGGAGGTTTTTCCCATCTTGTCTGCACTGCAGGGCTTTGTCGCACAATCAACCCCAGCTCCTCTCTAGCAGTGGCAGTAATGGCAGGTGGAGCTCTGAAGGCTGTCGAAGGAGCAAGGAGGCACTGAGCAGAGTGCTTGAAAGCTTTTTCTCTCCTTTGAGTTGCTCATGCCTGCAGGAAATATAGAATGTATTGTAGGTCAGGTTTTTTAGAAGAGAGGAGAGTTTCTTTGTACAAATTATTTTGTGTATAGAGAAAGTCAGAAATATATGCACCGTGGTTACATGTTTTAAGCTGCAGACAAGTGCTTTTAGATACATAGAGAATAATTACTTCTGGAAGGACTAATTTAGACTATACTGTTAATAATAATAATGCAGTTTGGAGTAGTGCATCGAGGAAAGTAGACATAGTACATACATGCTGGCTTTTCTGTATGCAAAGAGAAAATTCAGGAGTCTGAGCAGAAGTTGATGTGGCTGAGGACAGAAGAACTGATGTAGTAATTTAGTTGAAAATTGTAATTTACTGTAGCTATTAAAAAAAAAACATTACATCCAGTACATGATGTACAGAAACATACTTGCCTTTGACAGCAGTCACAACATTGGTGGTTCCAGTTGAGGTTCTGCATTTCAGCAGCGGCGATTCACTAAGCATTGTCATTATTCATTGTCTCTAAGCTGTGTCCTCCCTAATCATGGTTAGAGTATTGTAGGAGAACCAGCAAATTCTCCTCTTACTTCCACTTTGCATCACTAATTCCACTGAACGAAATTGTTCTCCTAATCTTTTGGTATATTACCTGACACATGTTCCCGTAAGTTAGGGTATAGCACAGAAGGTACAGTATATAAGTCTGTATGCACAGCTGCTGCCTGTATGACTAGGTCTGCCTTCTTCATAGTGAGAATTTTTGCATGGATTGCAGAAGAGAAAACAGGTTAGTGGATAAATGAATGCAGCCAATCATTGTCCTAGGATTTCATTTTCACTGGATGCTTGTTAGGCGTCTATGGGTCTTTGTTGGATACTTGGAAATTTGCAGCCTCTTGTAAAATTCCACTGAGTCACGGTTCCTTTATTTAGCTTGCTGGAAGGATGTTCTGCAGAGAAGGGGTATCTTGACAGGTTTTTAATTGTGATAAAGAGAAGTTGAATAGTTCTGTCGTAATAAAGAGCAGGGGAGGGAAGGAAGGAAGGAAGGAAGGAAGCAAGGAAAGAAGGAAAGAAGGAAGGAAGCCAGCCAGCCAGCCAGCCAGCAAAGGAGCAAGCAGAGGAGGAGTTGTGCATGTCCTCAAGGGTGAAGGCATCAAGTTTAACCATGAAACAAAGAAGGAAAATAACTAAAATACTCTTTAAAAGCTTAAGAAGGTTATTATATTTAGGTAAAACAACCTTAGCACCCTTACAGAAGTAGCCTGATTTAGCTTTCACCATGGAATCAAGGGGTGTGATTCACTCCTTGGATCATCTGCAAGTGTCTACAATGTCTTTGTCCACATCTGAGCCAATTGCTCTTCTTTTTTAATCACTGGAGAGAAATGGAAATGTTTTGGGCACATTCACCTCCTTCTAAAGTGAACCAGATTAGACAAACCACATACTAAAAGTACCAATTCCTCTTCATTGAGTATAGAAAGGAGGCCACAGTGTGCAGGTTGTCTGTAGAATCTACCTTCTAGATATCTAAAATCAGGTAAAATGAATACTGCCTGAAAGATACTGAATCAGTTTGTGACTGAATGGGATGATGGACTCTCTACATCATTTAATCTCTGCCTCAGTTCCTGTCTGCAAAAAAGTTGAAATGCTCTGTAATTTTCTCCCACTCTCAGTTTATCAGGTTTATTTCAGTAGAAGAGCTTGGAAGCAGGGACTCTGACTTACTAGCCAGTATCTTGCTATCCAGTATCTAGCCCCACTCTCATTTGCTGTGCTGGGTATCACGGTATGCTGATACTATTCAGAGGAGCAAGTGACCTGTGTGTGTACTTGAATCGTGTGTATCGTTGTGCACATGAGAAGTCTGCAGATTGCTTTGCTTCATACCATGCTCAAGTAGCTTATCCATAGACGTGCCATTCTAGATACAATAACTGAGCAAGGGAAAGGTAAAAGCTTGGCACATTTCCTATAGAGTCTTTGATTTCCTTTTTTTGCTCATCCTCCTGCCTTAACAGACAATGTTTGAAACATTATCATAACTTTTTCTCCACGGTTGTTTGGTTGGTTCCTGTCAGTTGAAGCACTGGTTTACAAAGCCTCTGACTCCTTACTCCCATTTCAGCGAAATTACCTCAGTTGCTGTGCTGTAAATCTTTCTTCGGTGAAGCAAACCAGATTAGGGAGTTGATGTAGTCTGAAAATAAGCCAGCAGAACCAATGGTTACTAATCCACATCTGTTCCCTGGTGCCATTCCCTGCACGGAGAAATGTGCTGAAGATTAGTGGAATGAAAATAACCCTTAGGCTGTGAGCAGCCCACAAGGCTCACTATGTCATGATGTACTGCAATACTTCCTACTTGTAACGACAGCGAGGTCTTTCACTAAAACTCTGTCCCATTATGCCAGATACACAAGGCTTCTGAAATGTCTGTCCAACTTCTTGGGGTCACATGCTTTTTACTGCCACAGTACTCATGAAAATATATGTGTTCATCTAACAGAGGCATCATGAAAGCAACCACAGGCTTATCAGCCTTTTCCAAATACATCTATCCCAAAACGATGTACTTAACACATAGAAACTTTTCCTTTTGACTCATTGTTCTAAGTTCCTCTCCCCAAACCCCACCCTCAGATTTTTATTTACCTTTGACTTTGTAGCTTATGGTAGTTCACTCATTTTACAGTGGCCTTACAGAGGTTCTTTGGGTGGAAGTTATTTTTACTGAATTAATTTCTTTTCTATGTAATATTTAGCTATAGTCAAAATATCTACTGTATTAAATGCTTTTGTTCATATGCTCTCTGTTACTAGAAGATTAAGCTTTAATTTGTCTCAACTGTTAATGAACCCATTGTGCCCTTAATTGGGTGAGCTGTCTGTACATTCCTTTGGGGACTAATGCCTCTGTGCTACCAATTTCTTCAGTCTTCTGATGGTTTGCTGCAACAGGACAGACTTACCTACCTATTGCAAATGATGCCTTCTGGAAATATCGTATTCTAGAGAGTCAAGGTTTGTAACAAGAAGCAATATAATTTATTAGGTCAAGTCTGATGTAGTCAGACAAAACACCATAAAAGTTCTCAGGCATATAAACTCTTCTTCACATCTGAAATGGAAGCAACATACTTCAAGCGAAGTACAGAAATTCGTCTCAGTTCGGTTTCATTATTGTTAATCACTGTGACTGTCTGAGAGAAAAGGATAGTTAACATCTACGAAGCTGCAGTAGCTTTATGTTTGTGGTCATGGAGCTATTCAGAAATATCAAGTCTGGAAAGCCAAGATGCCTTTCAAAAATTTACTCATCCAGAATGATTAGTGAGAGCCTCTGCCTTTCCAAAAAGTTCAACATTTCTACAGACCTAAAACTAAAAGAAATTAGAATTGAAACATTTATTTGAATTCTATTTCACATGAGCGTTGCTGCACAGATGCTCTCGAAACACTAAGAAATATTTCATATGCAGTGTTTTTATGAAGCTTAAAAAATTAACAGCTCAATGAACAATCGTCTGTATTTCACCACAATGTCAATTTATTGTCTGTGCTATTGTTGCAGGTGATTATGTAGTCATGACTATATACTTCGACTTAAGTAGAAGAATGGGATACTTTACTATTCAAACATACATTCCCTGTATATTAACAGTTGTTCTTTCCTGGGTATCCTTTTGGATTAAAAAAGATGCCACACCAGCAAGAACAGCATTAGGTAAGTTGTTAATAACTGCCTTTTCTGCTCTCTTTGTGTAGTTTCTACACTATTATTTGAAAATGTCAGCTTTCTTTCAAAGAAACCACTAGCTATATGCTTTGGATTATTGCTACCACATCTTGCAGACCCAGATCTACTTATCACGGAAGCCTCTGGGTTTTTGCCTTTAACAGGGTAATTAAAAGTAAACTACCCTGACCCTTTGGAATGACACTGCCACCTATTTTGCATAATATTCTAGAATTAATGTCTGTCTCCTTGTTCCCAGTATGATATTTTAGTGACATTTCTGAAGAATAAATTAATTGCACTGCTGGCTTCTTTCCCTTCTGAAACTTTCCCCACAGGGCATTATATGTCTTATATATACAGAAAACTGTGGGATATAATAATATTAACTCATGCAAAGTGTTCTAGCTTGCGTGCTTGAAGTTAAGCTCCACACTAGGTGTATAGATATTTTTCATAGATTGTGGAGGTTTATGCTGGTATAGGTTTTCCAGCAGCTCATTAATGTCAGGACCAGCGCGTGCATTTTGGCATTGTGCTTTAGGATACACTTAGAAATGCTGACCGTTTATTCTTATGTCTATAGGAAAACTTGCAGGTTTTGCTAGCATCAAGGGTGTAGGGCTATATACTAGCCAATTACAGGTGTACATCAGAACTAAAGAAAAAACAGTATTTTAGTCCAGACTGTAGTTGCCAGGGCTGCCAACACTAACTGGTTCAGAAATGTACCAGTCTACTAAAAAAGGGGAGGCTGTGTCAAGGTTTACATGTCTGTTTTCAAGCGTGGAGATTATCATTCCCAGCTATTCATTGCTTCCTCCTGCTGGAGTTTGTTACCGTCTCCAGTTAACCGGCTGGAATCTTTAATTCATTTCAATTTGAAAGAACAAATTATTAAAAACTGACCTGCCTGACTTTTTGGACTGAAATCAGATGGTAAGCATTCGTAGCAGCAACTGAGTCCCCAGGTTTGAGAGGGTGATACTGCTGCAAGGAAAGACTGGAGGACAAGGGCTGTGAACAGGCTACACCTCCTTGGAGGACACATGAAGGCAGCCTGCAGCAGGCATGCTGTTCTTGAGTGCTGCTGTGTGCCGTCAAGCCTTCGTTAAACCACAGTATAGGATAGGCCATCAGTACAAACCACCTCTGTCTCCCACTCTCCTAAACAGCTGATCATGGGTACTCAGTACTCCTCATCCTTTTTCATCCAAGTTACTAAGCGTTTACCAGAAATGGTTACTTATATGTGAATTCATTTCTGTTAGCTCCTTTAAACACCATGTAGAGGTGCTCTACTTGATCTCAGGAGGAAGACACCTTGGTTGACAACGCAGCCTTTATACAGTTGTTCAAAATGATTTGTCCTATTTCAGTCTGTCTCTCTCTTGCACTAATAAATCTAAGCAATTTTGAGGGTGCTGTAGTTTCTAGCATAAAGGCCCTGAAGGGGAAAATAAAAATGAAGTGCTAAAGAGACTTTGAAGTCCATTCACTCTGAATGAGATTTTTAGCTGCTAAGTCTCTTGAACTTGTCCAGAAGTTTGATCCCACTTTCTAAATCCTTCACTCATACAAAAAACTTACGGTCATCTATTCAGGGTGCACAAGGCCCGGGTTACATTTTTCCTCCCAAAACTTCTAATGCTTCAATAGCTTTGTAACTTTCAACTGAATGGTGGAAGAAATACATTACCAAAAATACCCTCTAAGGGTAACTCCCTCACTAGCCACAGCTTTGTTTAAGTAATGAAGCTATATGCCAGCCATTACTGCTATCAGTCC